AAATGATAGTGATGAGAAAATTAACATAGTGATAAGTAAAAGTATATCGATATGGGAAAAAAAATAAATTAGGAAAAAAGCGCCCAACTGATATCTTATCAGATACAATATACAGTATGGAGTTGTTATCACATATCTACGGCTCAATGGTTATTTTTATATTATATATCCTGAAAAACGATAGTGATGAAAAAATTAATTAACATACTGATAAGTAAATGTATATCGATAAGAAGAAAAAACAAACAAAACAAAAAGAGGAAAAAACCACACTTATTATTTTCCAATTTTTTTCTTTTATTTACTTATTTGATTGTCTCTTTTGTTATTTGATTAGGAATTATGCTATTATCCCACCTTATCATGTTGATATTGTTAGAGATAAACATTGCATAGTAAGTTATAGGAGTAAACTTCAGCTATTATTGATAACAATAAAAATAATAATAACAAAAACAATAATAATAATGATAATGATAACAATAATTAGTTGAAGTTTAGGATATCTTGACAAAAAAAAACGGAGAAACTGAAAAAAAAGCAAGTTGTTATCATTGAAATTTATCATTTGTAATCAATTATTTGCTCCTCTAACTTATCCTTCTTCCTTATTTTTGCTTTCTGTACAAATCCATTTTTTTCCCTCTATAATATGTTTCTTCCGGATACCGAATTTACATTCCGTTCACTTATTCTTTTCCGGAGAAAAAAAAATGCATCGAAATTTTTTCCGATTTTTACTGCATAAATAAATAAATATAATTATAATATTTACAGAATGTGACGAGAAAAAATTGCACAGTGTTGGTGGACGATTATTGCAATGGTTCAGCGACATACATAAAGCAGCAAATGCTGATTCCGGATTACCATTACGCAGTATGTTCCTGTTTTCCTGTTTTGCTTGAAAAATTTAATACCGTATTCCATTTACCACTTCCTGTAAGATAATTAATTTTAGCAAAAAAAAAAAAGTGAACTAATTGAATTTTCTCATTACAGATAAATTCGTTATAGTAAAACTTTATCTCAATTCAAAAAGTTTCGTTTTTTTTATAGAAATTTCAATTTTATGATTGTTCCGGATTAAATTCGAATTACAATATTGGATAAAAATGCAATATAGGATTTGAGATTAGTGTACGATTAGTAAAATCAGGAATGGATTGATTTAGATATAATTTCTTTTTAATGATATATGATTATTTATTTTAATTTACAATATATGATTATTTATTTTGATTTTTTTCTTCTTAAAACATTTTTAGTTTACGATATATAATCATTTCAAGTATGGTATATGATTATTTATTTTAATTTTTTCACTTTTTTTTAATATTTTAATTTACAATATATGGTTATTTTAAGTACGATATATGATTATTTATATTTTATTCTCTTTAGTTTTTTTTCTTTTATTTTTTAATTTACGATATATGATTATTTTAAGTACAATATATGATTGTTTATTTTAATTCTTTTAAATATAAAACAAAAAAAAAAGAAAAAAAAGCATACCTCATAAGATGGTGGTGAATCATTTAAACAACCTTCTTCAATATCTTTTTCACCCATATCATTACATTCTGCTGCCATTTTCATTAAATGCCTAAATAAAAATAAAAATTTTATAAAATTTTTTTCAAAAATTAATCAAATTTTTGTTAAAAATTTTAAATTAAATTTTTAACTTTTCTAGAAATTTCTCATTTTCCTATATATATATATATATATATTAGAAAAATCATATAACAGTAATAGTAATAATATAAATATGAAGAATAAGGAATTATGATATTATTTCCATAGATGATTGTAGTTTCATTGATGTGCGCAAATGGCACCCTACTGATTTTTATGTCCTCGATGACCTTCTTCTTCGGTCTTTTCCTTTAGCAGCATTCTTCATTCCCAGTGAGAAATTGAGCTTTGCAAATTTTATTCATGATTTATTACAATTCATGGCATCAACAATCCTTACTCTTTTTCCATAATTGATTTAAAAAAAATGAATCATAGAAAAAGTTCAAAGCAAAAAAAAAAAGAAAAAAAAATCCGGATTACAAATCAGGTCATACACGGTATGCAATAATAACACATGCTGTGATGTTATTATTCTTCCTCATATTATATGTTTCGTTTAATTTAAATTTAAATTTAAACACAAATGAAACGTATAATTTTAGTTAAAAATAAATTTGTTTAATCCGAAAAAAGCAAAAAAAAATTTATCAGTTTTGACTTTTTTTTTTTATTAATTAAATAATCATTTTTAGGAAATATTGGAAAAGGAAAAATTAAATAATATAATAATGGCAATATTAATTTTAAATTTTTTACTTCCTTTACAAAAGATTTTATGGTAATAACATTTCTTGTTAATTACGATAATTATTGTTTTCTTAGAAATTGCATCATTCTAGAAAGATTTTCTTGGAAAAAATCTCTCCAATGAATTTCATTTTTGAAAAGTTAATTGAGATTTGTTGTCTTAATTATTTAAATATGTTAATTACTTTTTTTTGTTCATAAAACCAACAAAAATTCTTTCTTTTTTTTTTATTAATTTAATTATTAAGCAAAAAAATTTTGTTTATTAATGAAATTCTTTTATAAAATTATACAAAAATAAACAAATACATTTGCATAGGTAATGTCGATCGATTTTAAAATATTTGAAATATAAATTTGTAATTTTTTTTTTTGCTAATGAATAACTTAAATTAAGATTAATTTTAATAAGGCCAAAAAAAGGACAAAATTATTTGATTGATAATTACTTCCTTTTTTTTCCATCTTTTCTCTTCACGCCCTTTTTCTTTCCTTTTATTTCCCCTTCTAAATTTTTACAATCATCCTTTTCGTAATTTTACAACAACCCTAACAATGATGACCTTCTACCTTTTCAAATTCCTCCTATATATACAACAAAAGCGGTACATATCAAAGGATTAAATATGTACATGTAAATTTGTATTATGTAAAGATATCATTAACAATCTAGAAAAGAAAACTTATGTTTCAGAAAAAAAAATTTCAATTTTTTTTTTGAAAACTACGATATGATACTAAATACCGTAGTGATTTCTAATTCTTTTTCTATGCTGGAAATTATTGGACAGTTTGATAATGATCAAATATTACGAAAGAGTTAGAGAAGAAATGAGATAATGATAACGATAATAATAATTATTTTCAAATATTTTGTTGACAATAAATCGAATTATTACATTGATAAAAGATTATTTGAAATTTCAAACTATTCCTTGTAAATATAGCAAAAAAATTTATTTGACAAATTTAAATTTAATTAACATTAATAATTTTTATAAAATAAGCAAAAATTTGTCCTTATTTCTGAAAAAAATTTGAAATAAAAGAAAAAGCAATACTTTTGAATTGTATGAAAAAAAAAGGGAAAAAAAAGAGAATTAAAATTTAATGATTGCAATATTACTTTAACTTATAATACGATTATTTGAAATTACATAAATTAATAAATAAATAAGTGATTGCAAAAAAAAAAAGGTGAATGAAAAAGATTAAACTAATAATTGTTAAATTAAATTAATTAATATATTTTTTTTAGTAATGCATTTTTTTTTTGCCATATTATGCTTCATTCAAATAATATAAATTGATGTAATTCTTTAACAAATACATATGCATATATTTATTTTCTTTTCATTAATTTAATTAAAAATTAATTAATAAATGAAATAAAACTAACCTGAAGATGAAATAAAGGAATACAAGGAATGCAACTGTTGCAAAAATACCATTGAATAATGAATAGAGTAATATTTCAGTTTGTCGCCTTGTCAAATATATTTCTTCATCACTTTGATTGTTGTTAATTTTTAAAAATACTTCAGATGCTTCTTGCATTTCACAAAAATTTTTTTCTTTCTTTCCTTTTTGTCTTTTGTCCTTCTTTCTTTGTCAACTTTGTTCTATTGACACTTAGCACGCCAATTTCTTTTGTCGCTGTTGTTGAGAATTATTTGAAATTTGAATGAAATTTCGGTCGAAGTATAGAGTGAAAGAAAAAAAAGGACTTTGTCAGCCTTTTTTTTTTCTTTTTTGTACCGTTTTAAGATAGATTGAAATGATGGAATACGTTGAAAATCTGAAAATAATAAATTTTATAATTTATAAGAAATTAAAAAGGTTTTTTTTTTTAAATTATATGATTGTTTTTATAAAACATTTTAGTAAGATTTGATGCTTACCTAAAAAATTGAATTTTCATTTTTTTAAATTCTAAAATTTTTAAATTTCAAGCACTAAATATGATAAATATCATAATTTTGATTTGCATTTTTGCAAGCAAATATTATAGGATTATTATGGTATTCATTTTAAAATAATATAAAATGCGAATAAAAAATTATTTAAATTTTTCAAATAAAATAATGCTATCATCCAATT